GTCACATTGGTATTTGCCGTTGGTAGGTTTCGAACCCGCACCCTCATGCATGAGAAGCGGGCATCTTAAACCTCCGGGCCACCACGACCTTAAATTTAAGGTGAATGCTACAGGGTATCCCGCGAAATTTAAATATTCGTAAATGTTTTGCAATTTACAGCTCGATATCGGATAGTATGATAAATTGGCGGTAGTGAAATGTACATGTTTATACAACAATACTTTTGTTAAATCCCATTCATATTCCGCAATTCAATGAAGTTCTAAAATGTTTTTATAACTATCGTGAGACGTACTTAACTCGTCGAGTACCGGTTTTGTAGACACAATTATAGAACAATAGGTTGCGGTCACCGGTGACCGCTTGGTGTTTGACAGTTCAGAAAGGTGGTGACGAAAATACTTTACTCTACCGACACACACCAAACAATCTATAAAAGCACTTCTGATCACCCTTTAGCAAATAACATACGTCACGTTTTTATAATTACTATCGTGAGACATACTTAACTCGTCGAGTACCGGTTTTGTAGACACAATTATAGAACAATAGGTTGCGGTCACCGGTGACCGCTTGGTGTTTGACAGTTTAATTAACTAAATTCGCGAGTTACTCACGTGAGTGTACTGAGAGAACCCCGGGTTCGAAACTAGTAGAGCTTTTCTCAGTATATTCACGCGATTTTAGTTGTTTTCTAAAATGTAACATGTTGATCAAAACTTGTCGATGATTGAAGACTTACTTTTATATGTATAGCGAATATCAATTGGACCAATGAGGGCTTGAGCGATTTTCTACCCTGGATGATTCACTTTCACCATATTTTTGTTTGTTTTTGTCAATATGTTTAGTTAATGACTCATATCATTTAAGATAAGTGGTGCGTAAAAAAACTAGATTTCTATGTGCTTAATAATTTTAAGACAAATGAATATTTTTAATTTTAAAGAAGGTATTTAGTTAGTACATACTTCAGCAAATGACGACGCCGCGTCGTGTGTCGGTCGCCGTCCATTAGCAAATCTTAGTTCATTGTTTTCGTTCGTAATGGACAAAGCGATACTTCTCTTTCGCAGAGGCCATAGCAAGAGTTTGATTTACGTTTAAAGTATTCGAAACGAGTACGCGTTCGGCAATATGATTGGCCGGCGTCAATGAAGCAACCAATCAGAGCGCAGAACGCGTTCTCGTTACGATTAGTTTAAACGTAAAATAAACTCGTACTAAGGCTTAGGCTTCTGATTCATGTCTGTCTGTGAGATGTGTTCATATAATAAAATACGGTGACTACGCACAATATGTTGATAAAATCAATCATCGTTCATTCATTAGACATTATAATACTTTCGATTACTGAAATTATTTTATATCAATGGATTCAAGGTTGCGTTACGTGTTTTGCTATAGGTACACAGTCATGATCATAAGCCCCAGTGTGCATCGAAACTTGTCGAGAGTCGTTGAAACAGTTTATTTAAGTTAAATATTATTTAAATACCGTCTAGTTTCACCTAGTTGGCTTATAGGCTTGTTATTTTCAGTGACTAATAACAACTATGTTAAGATGTATGCCAATTAAGACTGATATTATTTATCTATGTTAGTTAATTGTTAATTATATGCAAAAAGGGCAATAATGTTTAGAAATTCTCAATGACAGCATGTTTGTAGTCTGATCATTGTCGAAACTGCCCTGTAGGGTTAATAAAAAACTTTTAAAATGTGTGAGCGGTTAAATATCCCATTTCTTTATTTATATTTTGTTTTTTAGATAAATAGTTCTTACATAAACTTTGTTGACGATTGTGTTTAAGGTAATTGAAAAAAGGCGGACATAGTCTTTTAAAATAACGACTGTGCTACCTGGCTACTATAGACTTACACGCAGAATATATTTACATGAAGGACATCTGTCATTTTCTTAAGTCAGAAGCCTTAGTACCTACGAGTTCGTTTTACGCTTAAATAATCGTAACGAGAACGCGTTCTGCGCACTGATTGGTTGGTTCATTGACGCCGGCCAATCATATTGCCGAACGCGTACTCGTTTCGAATATTTTAAACGTAAATCAAACTCGTGCTATGGCCTCTGGTAACACGGTAACACTCGCACACATAATAAAACCACTGACATTTTGGTTCCACAATAATTTCTATGAGACGTTATGTCCACCATTTTTCAACGTCCTTGTATCTAAGTATAAAAACTGTATGCTAGCGTCACACTTTTTGACTTATGTCAAAATTTTAATTAGATTCCAGATTTGACAATAGCTACTGTCATTTTGTGAAATAATGATACCACATATAATAGTGTAGTGATGAACACAAAAATCGATAAACAATCAGTGTGTGTGTTTTATAATAAATGTTACAGAAAGTGATAGGATGGCGATAGTGATGACGGCGACAATTATAAAATAACTTATTACCATAATACATCTTCTCTATCTTTTTTATTTGTCATGTTCCTTCATGATTACATTTTTTTATTTATTGCACACACAATTATAAAAGAAAAGTCTCAGATCGTTAATTATTCGTCAAAACTAAATTATCGGCTCAGAAATATTTAATTTCCTGATATACTTAGTTTACGAGAGTAAAATTATAAACGAGAAGAATCGATCCAGAAATATTGCATTTCCATATCGAATAATTTCGCAACGTCACTATTTAGTACTTGTCATAACGTTGAAACACTGAAATTGTCAAATCTGGAATCGAATTAAAATTCCGGGTATAAATATAAATTTGTGTAACGCCTAAATAAAATTCTCATTGTATTTATCCCAAGTGTGATGCATTTACAAGCCTTAAAGTTAGGTAGTATAATAAATTAGTTAGGTTATGTGTCATGTTTTATAAAAACCACATGTTATACATTTTATTTTACATCTAAAATAAATATTGTGCCTTAAATAAATTATATTATATTGTAAAACTAGTTTTTCTTTTGCTATTGTATGCTGGTAATCGTTGTTTCCTCTCTCTGCTATCGAGAAACTTTACAATTACCAAGGCGACCAACTTTCTGAAAGTCCAATGCGGGACTTTTTGTAGATAAAGTTTAGTCGGTACACCTACAATTACATCGGATCAAAGTGCAGGAGTAGGAACGGGGTCGTTTGTAGTCAGTAAGAGTCTGACACTCCCTTCGGCCTCACCCAGGCGGGAGAATTCATTCGATGATTTCCCCCCCTTAAAAAAACCTAGGTACAATTAGGTACACACGGCCACACATCAACCTATACAAAACCAGTTGATCCTGGTGTCGCGTCGCATCATCTTTCCGCACATTGAACGTTTAGTTTATACTGGTTATGTAAAGCTCGACGTGTGTACATAAAAAACATAAAACTTAGGTACAAAAGTTATTTAACTAGAGGTACTTACATATTAATAAAATCGTATTTATCTCTAGAGTGACAATTTTTAACAAGTTCAGGATTCTTATTGAGTAGATGTCATCAAAATCTTCGCAACTTCCCATATTAAATTTAAGTAGGTACAAGCAGAGCACGTAGTGTTTTCACTTTTAGTGACGATTTTTCCGGTCTTCATTTATTCGCGCTGTTGTTAGTGCGCGTCTGTTGGTGTCGTGTAGTATGAAATGAAAAAAAAAGAAATGGGTATGTGGGACTTGCGCAAAAGTTTTCTGCAAGATTCTCCTGGATAGGCTGTCAAAGGCCGTGGATCCTCTTTTACGAAGGGAGCAGGCAGGTTTCCGATCAAACCGCTCGTGTACAGACCAGATCAACACTCTTCGTATCATTCTAGAGCAGGCAACAGAATGGCAAGGGGAGATTTATCTTACCTTTGTCAACTTCGAAAAGGCCTTTGATACGTTGAAGTGGTCTAGCATCTGGTCCCGTCTACTGGACATGGGGGTGCCGCCAAAGATCGTCCGGCTGTTGGAGAATATGTATAGGGCGTATTCCTGTAAAGTGACACATGACGGTCTTATCTCCGATGACATAGTGGTGCACGCGGGTGTCCGACAAGGCTGCCTCTTATCACCGCTTCTCTTCTTGGTCGTTCTGGATGGGATCATGCTTCGCACCACCGACAATCGGCGTCGCGGCATAGAGTGGGGATTATCCAACTTCTTGGAAGATTTGGATTACGCCGATGACCTATGTCTGCTGAGTCATACCCACGCCGACATGCAAGCAAAATTGGATGACCTGCGGCAGGAGGCGGCAAAAGCTGGCCTGAGAATTAACACCCGAAAGACCAAAGAAATTAGAACGGGTATGAAGAATACTACACCGTTGCTGATTGGCACAGAGGCAGTGGAACGTGTCCACAAATTTTCTTACCTCGGGAGCGTCGTGTCAGAGACTGGAGGTACTGAAGAGGACATCACTTCAAGGATCGCCTAAGCCCGAGCTACTTTCGCGCAGCTGAGACCTGTGTGGCAGTCACGGAAAATGACCCGAAGGATAAAACTGAAAGTCTTTGGGTCCAATGTAAAATCCGTTCTACTCTATGGGTGCGAAACGTGGAAGGTGACTAAAGACATCTCACGCCAACTTCAAGTCTTCGTTAACCGATGCCTGCGTCACATTCTCGGAATTTACTGGCCCGAGACCATCTCCAACGTAGAGCTTTTGGAGAAATGCCACGAAAGCCCAATCGACCGCCAGATTAAGCACCGCAAGTGGGGATGGATAGGGCACACGCTCCGAAGGGACCCTGACCACATACCCAAGCAAGCCTTGGATTGGAATCCCCAAGGGAAAAGAAAGCGTGGCCGTCCTCGACAAACCTGGCGTCGCACCGTACTGGCAGAAGCGACGAGCATCGGTATGACGTGGAGTGAGGTGAAGTGTGAAGCTCAAGACAGATCGCGATGGAGAACTTCAGTGGACGCCCTCTGCCCCATCTAGGGGATACAGGATATTAAGTCAAGTAAGTCATGCGGGACTTGCGGGACGCATCTAACGTTTAACGGGACTATTTTATAAACTATTTCGAAGCGGGATTACATCTAGCATTACGGGACGGTCCCGCAGAATACGGGACGGTTGGCCGCCTTACAATTACGTCCTGTCGAGTTGAACGGCCCATCTTCAAAAGAATTCGATGTAGTATCATTTAATTCTTGCCATCTAAATAGCTTGTATTTCGGAAAAAAATGCTTTTTTATATATTCATGTACATCTAAATCATTTTGCTGTCTTTTCATTATTCTTGATTTAATTCTATGTTCAAATAGATTTTTATGGAAAACATTCGCACTGACAACTGACTTTGATATTCTGTTGACTTCAAATGGCGGGAAATTACTGAAAACAGCTTCACTTCGCAATGGCTTTGATGGCGTATGGTTCAATTCAATCAGAAAATTATTTTTACTCTGTGCCGGTATTCTTTCTTCAATATTTTCATTCAGTTTTGTAGTGAGGAGGGTTAATTTTAACGGTATGTCTATGTTCCCGACTTTTTTCGTGTTTTGGTTGAAACGGCCACAATCGTCTATGCAAATGTAGTTTGTGTAGTTTGGTTTCATAATTCGTGAGTAAATAACGTCATTTTTTGAGTTAATTATCCTGAATATAACATAATTTGGAGTTATCTGAGGACGAAGAAAAAATATTATTAGATTTATGACCCATTGTCAACAGCCTAGAGAAGAGTAGAGAGAAGAGAGATTTCCGGAACATTTGGAATATTTAGGATTCAAAATTTGAGTGTCTTTTAGTCCTGAGTGAATGGAATAGCTATGGACAGGAGTAGTCTATCGTTGGCCGCATCATCACTTATTAGGTGCCTATCACCAGGTAATGACAAATGCTGGTCTTCAATCGATAAATAAATAAACAAACAAACCTCATAAGACGTAGTAATCTCGCAAGAATCTTGATTTCCACAAATAATATGCTTATTTCTCTGATTCTCTGGCATACCGTACATTTTGGTGAAACGCCATTTGGTCTCAATAGGGTTGTCACACGTAGCTGTCAAATCGGAGAAGTTGATGATGCTTGGACAAGTAGTGTATATGTCTGTGTACTGAGTATAATAGGCTCCACACAGTAACTTGTCAGTGATCACTGAGAAGAACTCGTAAGGACATGGTGGGGGTGTTTCCTCGATCGTCTACTGAAAACATACAGAAAAAAGTTTAGTTTCTGATATTTTATCTTATATGTGTACTGTATATGCAAAGAGGAAGTAAATTGACATATTCGTAATTGTAACAGTAGCATTTTCACTTTATCCCACTGAGACTTATGGTATGACTAAATTTTTGCTGGTACTGGTATTTTTCGATATGGTTCCTACTATAATACCAAATTAAACTAAAAACATATGCAGAAGCGTGCATACTGCGAATACCACTTTATCAACTTTTTCAAGAATGAAAGAACGCAGCGTAATGCTATGTTATTTTCAGAAGTCGTTTGATAGGGGAAAGTGAAAAAAGCCCAATCTAGAACGACTTGGGATATAGAAAAGAAAATTTAATACCTTAGAATGTACAAATATGTTAGCCCACACTCACCCACATCCCACAACTTTGGCATCCTGGCGCTTGAACGATATTATTACATTTGTAACACACAATTCTTTCAGTACCACCGTAAGAGGCCACTGTACGCCAAGTTCTCCAATAAAAGTCCCGTTTATAATGATACTTCATACCATCCATTGCTAGTAAGTGTCTAAAATCTCGCTCAAGCATTTCAATTTTCTTCCATTTTTTAGAAGATTTGTTGCCCCTTTTCAAGTAATGTGTGACATCGTTGACCACTTCGATATCACTTAACTCTTTGTTTTCCATGAGTAATGCTTCTTGGTCCTTTATTTGTCGTTGCCTTCGTCTCTCCATAAACCGTTCTTGGAAATCGACATGCCGTTTTTCTAGGACATGGCACATCACTATTAAAATGAATGATGACACAAAAATAAATTGAACGAATGACATTATGAGTAAGTTCTACGAAAACTGCACTGGCTTTGTTTATTTATTTTTTAAAGAAATACGATAAAATTCCATTTAGTATTAGTATAGTTTAGTATTTCCACGTTTATATTATTTTTATGTATTTATAATAAAATTATCGTTTTCTCAACATTTTATTTTTCTAAAATCGATCACTGGTACAACAATTTACAAAGACTTATGAACTAGTTCTGAATAAGAAAGTTCTAGAAAAGAATAAAAAAAATCTCCTTTGTGGACGACTTTTACGACTATTGAGTAGTTTTGTCCTTATTTTTTCAGTATCTTGATATTGCAGTCGACGTGTTTTGAAAATATATCATATCAAGTTAGATCGCTTTGAAATTAGGTATCTTAAAGTAGGTACGTTTAAAGGTGATAAATTGAAAATAGCTTCCACTCCGTTTATCCCCTAAGAGATAGGCAGTGCACATTGTGATATTAAATGCCAATTATTGGCGTTGGCAGCGAATATACAATAAACGCCCAATTTTTACCATATAATATAAGTCCCATGTAATAGGGGATGAGTGTGGAATGGTGCGATCTACCAGGCACGATTCTACACTCCGCGTTACCACTACTGAGTTGATAAACCAAAAAAAGTTTAGTAGTACTTTGATTGACTCGGGAATCGTACCCGTCCGTCGCTCTAGTGACCACTCGGTCAACGGTCAAGGCAGTCGCCAGCCAAACTAAATTGTAATGAACTAAATTATAAAATTATGCATTTTCTTATGTAGAATAGATATTGTGGCTCCTTATCAATCTCCGTAGTGCCTCGAAAGTCCATGGCTAGACTAGCACGTCTAGCCTTTTATCTAATATTTGTGTCATTGTTCTACACCATACACCTTTTTTTTTCTTTTTGGCAACGGAGTCTCCAAAACCATACACCTTATTCTTGGTTTTGATTTAGCGCCATTTGCCGAATACGTAACGTCGTCGTCAACAAATGTGACCAAATGAAAAAAGAAACTATGCTAAAGAATATGCAATTTTCTAACCCTGGAACGCGTTAATGAATGGCGAGAAATCTCCGCGAGTTTTTGTTGATTGATAAATCATTCATTCTATTCCGTTCATTTCATTCCTCTTACAATGATGGGATATGACGGGTGTCTATCGTAAATTCGTAAAAAAAACCATTTTGTTCAACTATTTTAGTTACGAAAATATTTTGTGACAAGACATTGTGAGTTCGCGTGTGTGCCTGTGTTATATTTGTGTGTTTTTCATAATTTTGAACTACGTTTTTCATCGTATTCGCTGCTCAACGTAATTTGGTATGTATTTTATTATAAATAAGCAACTTTGATCCTTTGTTAGATTAATATTCTTGATTCGAAATGGAAAGTTAGTTTCGCATTTTATTATTCATAGACCTACCTTGTTGATAGTTTTCATTGTAATAGTTTATACATTTATTCAAATCAAGTTTTAAATTTGGTCTGAAAATCTTATTACCACGCCCGTACTATCTAAATACTGTCATATTTTAATAACTTATAAAGTAAAATAATTGTTTATGATGATAAAAAAATCACTACATTCTCCACAAATTCTCATTACCATTCACAAGTAAACTTTTTATGACTTATTTATCACATTATTTTAATCATAGCAGTTTTAATTAAAGTCTTGATTAAATAAGACAGGAAATGTACCTAATTTCTGAGTTCCATTATCGGAACTAATCATCGTACAGAGTGTGCAACACTTGTGTATTCATTTCAATTATTTTATAACTTATAACTCATTTAATTACCTATAAAACTCTACAGGGACTTAGGTAGATTTTTTAATTACACAAATAAGAAGAAGATTGTAATTATATTATACTTGTCATTATTATCTCCATTTCCAAATTTTCTCTATAAATTATTATGAATAACAATGAACTTCAATATAAACCTCTTTGTTTTTAGACCTGCTTTCATAACATAGCAACAGACAATAATTATATTCCATTTTGTAAGTGGCATAGGTATGAACAAATACAGCCTATATAAAAACTTTACAAATTTTTTTGGTTAACAATTTCTGGATTTTCTGGGACACATGGTGTGACTGTAAGAAAGCTGGCTTTTTGCCAAGCCTTTGTAAATGGCAAAAATAAATGAATGATTAATATTACAATTATGTTTTAAAACCAAATACACACAACTGTATGGTGGCCGGTGACACAATTCTTATTTTAAACAATAGTTCTACGGCCTCTTTGTTTGGTCATTGCCTTGTTTTAAAGTTCACTTGATTATCTGTGGTGTCATTACACATGTTCTAATTTTAAATTGTAATGCCATATTGTTATTATTTTAACATTAGAATTTTGTTTTGTTTGTATTTTACAATAGTTTAACTCGTCGAGTACCGGTTTTGTAGACACAATTATAGAACAATAGGTTGCGGTCACCAGTGACCGCTTGGTATTTGACAGTTTAATAGACAATAGAATTAACCTCATTGCAATATAATTAATGTTATTAGAGTTTTCTCCATAATGCTAACATTTTAAATGCTTATTTCTTAGATTAAATATTAATCTTAGCGACTTTATTTTATGATATTAGTAGCCTGCTGTGGATGTGGATATTATCCTAATTCATAAAAATATTGATTGAAATGTGAAAGAAAAACAAACGGAAACCGTTTCCCATGTAAAATAATAGTAACAATATTGCTCCTTTGACTCCTAAAATAGTAAACACAATCTTAGTTGTTGGATACAGTGGGGTAGTTAGCATAGGTGGCGAATTTTGTAGGTGTCACCCAAAACCGAATCGAAACTATTAAAATAGAAAAGTAATAAACATTTACGTTTTATTAAAATATGATCATTACGATTGTGTATTATAAATTACAATAAACAAATATATATTTTTTTTTAATTATAATTTCTTCCTTCTAGCTTTGACACTTGCGAACTCCGATACACATCTTCATGTATTGCTTCATGTTCTATCATTAAAATACCAAGTTTATTTAATCTGGTTTCAGCCATTGTAGACCACAAATAATGTTTAATTAATTTTAATTTGCTTATGCTTGTGGTACGATATAGTTATCTAGATTGTTTTATTAATGGCGGTTATGTTCTCTGACAGATTGACGAAGTTATAGATAGAAGGAACTATAACTGATGGGCATAGTAGGTCTCGGGTGTCACCCTTAAACGGGTTACACCCGGGGCGGGCCACCCTCGCCGCCCCCCCTAGCTATGCCACTTTTTATTTTAAGAGAGGAAAATCATCGAATGACTGCTCCCGCCTAGGTGAGGCGGGAGGGAGTGTCAGACTCTTACTGACTAAAAACCACCCTGTTCCTTCTCCTGCACGTCGAGCTCCGGCTCGGTAACCCGTTAGGTTCTCCGCGACGCCACTGGTTAGATAACATCGTCATATCAGCCATATTCTGTCCACTGCCCCAGACAGTTCCCCTCCAATGACTAAACATCGGGAGGTTGGAAGCGACCTGCATACCACGACTGTCTCCAAAGGCCGACCTTTATACAGTTGTCTGTTGGCAACCCTTCACAACCTCCCAAAACTGCTGGAACCCATGTCCAGAATTTACAGTTGATATAACAATGCAAACGCTGGTACACTGAAGTCCATCACGTCCCTGGGACGTGACGTTGCGATAACTAGGATGATGACAGGGTATGAAAATTAAAAATCGAATTAGTCCGTAAGTTAGGTAATGAAAAAATATTAGACAAGTATTGTCGTATAATAAAACAATACTTAGATAAAACGAATCAAATTTTAGGAGTGGGGGTTAAAACGTCATTTCTACGTATAAAACGTAGGTTCATAGAAGTGGCGTCACGCGACATTTCAAATCAATATATGACGGACTACCAGACGGACATTAAAATAAAAATTAGTTATCTACCCTATTATATAAGGGTGCGTCCGAATCTGGCGAATTTTCCGCGAATATGTAGCTCGCAGATGGCTCACGAACTGCACATTCGCGGAACATGAACAAGACATTGTCTTATATGTCACAACGAAATGAATCAGAAGATATCATTACAGAAGAAGATGACTGCCTCGTAGGCCGAGTGGTCGCAAGTGCGACTCGGGCTATGGGTCTTGGGTTCGATTCCTAGGTCGGCCAATGTATTACTGGGTTTTAAAAAAAATCTCAGTAGGAGCACGGAGTCTGGAATTGTGTCCGGTATATGACAATTGGCTCACCCCCTATTACATGGGACTCATAATATAAATAGTGAAAATCGGATGTTACATTTTACAGTGGCATAATGTGCACCTCTGCCTACCCCTTCGGGGATAAAAGGAGTGATGTTTTGTTAAGAAGGAAGTGATAATAGCTACTTCATAATAATAATTTCATTCTAGGTGAATACCTATTTTATTCTGAACTCGTAATGGCATTGCACGAATATACTGTTTTAAGCTCAAACTGGTTTGGTAACGGTTTTTTTCACAATATGTGATTTTATTTGCAAAATAGTGATGTGAATATGCTAATGAAGACGTATATCGATGTTTTGGTTATTGGTTTTCCGGTATATACCTACTCAATAGAGTACTACACAGAGTATGAAAATTAAAAATATAATTATTATTATGTCCATCACGTAGATAATGAAAAAATATTAGACACATTTTTTAATAAGTAAACAATACTTATATAAAACGGAATTAAGTTTAGGAGTGGGAGGTCGTTACGTCACGCTACCCTGTAAAATGTAGTAAATCGTGACGTCACACGGTATTTCAACTCAATAATGTCGTCGAAAGTATTTCATTTTAAAGAAAAGAAAAATACTTGTCTAATGTTTTAAAATAATCTACCAGACGGACAATAAAATAAAATTTAGCATAGGTACTACTCTATTGTTGAAGCCGCGGAGAACTTAACCGGTTACCGGGGCTCCGGCTCGAAGTGCAGGAGTAGGAACGGGGTGGTTTTTAGTCAGTAAGAGTCTGACACTCCCGCCTCACCCAGGCGGGAGAAGTCATTCGATGATTTTCCCCCCTTAAAAAAAACTCCTATTTTTGTAGGTCTTCTCCATCATATTAACTCAACGTCTCAAGATGTCCACTGCTTCCCATAGGCCTCTCCCAATGACATGACCCATACTGTTAAATGTTACTTGCTTGCACGCGCAGTAGTTACAATTACAACTGTGTTGGTACTGACTGTCACTCTTTTTTTTATTATCTATGGTTTTAGGGACTTTTCGTTTAGGAACATATCAGCCCCGTTCATTCTCTCTTATTCATCGGTAATGGCATATCATTTATTAAAGCCGGCTAGACTAGAGTGATACCACGGCCGAGCGGAAAACCATAGTGAAATATAGCTTGCGTTGTGTTTCGTCTTGTGAGTGAGGGTCTCCAATCCCCGAAACCTCAACAATCCTCAAATTCCTTATCCCCAATAAGTTGGTAGCGTACTTTTCAAGGCCTCTGGGCCACCTATAACCTCTGGTGTTTCGGGTATCCTTAGCAGCACTGATTGCTTGCCCGTTTACCGGCTTATTCCATAAAAAGATTAAACCTCAATTTTCCATTGACTAAACATTGCATGTCGATTTTAATTATAATGATGTCTCAACGATATCGATACTCTGCAGATTATACCAACTCTAGGACAAGAAACAAGTGTTTTTATTACAGTGTTACCAACCACGCCAATTTATACCTTAAAGTCTCGCAGATAAAGTCAAAAACAGCATGACTGGTGACTCAATTCTAAAGTTCGAATTGATTTTAAACCTTATCCTTTTGGAATTGAAGTTGAATTTGTTATGGTAGAGTTAAATGCTGTTTACGTTTAAACAAAGACATGTTGGCTTAGTGATACTTTGTTGCTAAGAATGAAGAAAGGATTTAATTTGTTTTTTTTTTTGATGTGAAGGACCTACACAAGTTCAACAACATCAATTGTTCGTAAGAGTCCACTGCTGACTATGAACCTCCTCTACATAAGAGGGTTTGCTATAATTGTGTACTTGACAACTAGTCTAATTCAATACTTTTTTCGAACTGTATAAACGACAGTTTTCTATGAATTTTGTACGAGATTGTGTATTGTGACGTCACGTTTTTTAGGGCCAAACAACATAATTATGTACTTATTTCTTAAAAAAATTGCTGGCAAAATACTAAAATAAAGTGGATAACAAAATCAATTAATGAAAGTGTGATTATTGTTTAATATTTCATTGTATTGAACAGTCGAAATAATCTATTTTTGATTAAGGAAAGTACCCACTTGACAGGATCTCCAGATGACAATGCGCAGTTTC